GAGGTACTTAGCCAAAAAATTTATACATCACAAAAAATGGTACGTGACAAAAAACGGTTACATCAGGGCTTATATTACCTAGTTAGGAGTACAATGGTTTTTTAGACCTTAATAGGTTGTTGGAAATGAAATGCACAAGATAGTGTGGCCACATAGAGAGTCTCTTTTACAATTGGGAGGAGATGAGTATTACATGTTTCTAGGGTACAAATGAAGGATTGAGGTTTATCTCTACAATCAACTAAGACTATTAACTCACGTGCAACTAAATAGGTGCATTGGCCATTATCTTTTCAAGATTAGAATTTTAGATTAATTCGTTTAATAATTTATTTGGCATCTTCACTTCTTAATGTTTCATTTTTTAAAATTTCAATAATTGATAGAGTTGAACCAAATTAATTCGTATCAACCCCTTTCCCGAATGTTTAGGGTCAGGGTCTAGCATTCACTAACCCAACCCAAAATCCTGACCTGGCCTGAAATCAATCCAAAAATGCCTCGACCCACCCGACCTGATTGCCAGGTCTACCTACATGGCACTTACATGACAAAAGATGAAAGGGCTCCATACCAAACACCATCAATGTTGTAAAAATAATAGCAAGTGAAAGAGAAACACCATTAACTGGAGTGAATTAGAAAAAGAAAAAGTAGAAACACTCCAAATCCAAATCCTATACGAGGTAATAAGAAGACAAGAGCAAGTGCCACATCATCCAAAGTAATGGGGTACACGTGTACGGATCAAACTGAACTTGGTGGAATGTGAGATTAGCTCCAGCCTCTAGTATTACAGTTCATGGGCCGGGCTGGGCCGGGTTTGGGCCGGGCTTTTACTCATCCTTAATGGAAATATGCTAGGCCCGAGCCCGACCAACGGGCCTATAACTTGGGCCCAAGCCCGGCCTTGATAAAAAGCCCGAATCCCGAGCCTGAGCCCAAAGCCTGACCTAATAAAAAAATTACAATTTTCCCTATTCAAATTAGAATTAAAAATTTAGATGGTTTTTTTTCCTTTTCTTTTAGGTTTTAAAACACAGTTTTACATTCTTTAGTCAAAAAATTTATTCAAATGAACATAATCACATAATCCATTTTAAGTCTAATTTTAGGTCAGGCCAGGCYAGGCTATTTTGACAAAACCCGAGCCCGGCTCGAATTTATTGCGGGCCATATTTTTTGACCCGAGTTTAAGTCCTCATGCCTATAAACATGTTCAAGCCCGTATTAGAGCCGGGCCGGTCCGTTGGGCCACCCGTCCCATGAACAGGTCTAATTACAATATTACTTGTACAACTGTAGATGATTTGAATGACATGAAATTCCCTTTCCCGCCTCCCTTTTGTATTACTGTTCTTACAAAATTTGATTTGAATTATATAAGCAAAAGACAAAACGAAACAAAGCAGCCCGATTAGGACTAGCGAGTAGTAGCCACTCCCTAGTCTGGAGTCCGGACTTATTCAGTGAATGGTACCCCTCGTAGTTTTGACAAATATTAGGGCTATTTTGGTCCAAACATATTCTTCTCTTCAAAATTTCCATTTCTGCATCGTCGTCCTGTATTATGCTGTAGCTGTGTTGGTTCCATTTCCTAATTCTTCCCTTCCGGCTGAAAGCTAACTACTACTACTACTACTCGGCTCAAATGGTCATCTTCAAATCCTACTTTCCTCCCACACCCCGGAAGTGCAGACACTGAAGCCCGAATTATCTTCATTTCTCCGATTTGATTTTTGAATGGCGACATCGGCTTTCAAATCCACCACCAAGAGGTCTCCGATCGGACCTACCACCACCCGGACACCCGAAGACGCCGGTTCATCCAACCGAGCTGCATCCCACCACCGCCGCTCTAGGAGTCTCAGCCGCTTCTCCCATCGCTTCCATTCGGAAGACTCCGAAGATCTCCCGGCACCCAGGGGCAGGTTCGTCAATACGGTCAGGGGTTCAGGGTTCCCCGAAATCAGCCTCGATGATCTCGCCAACGAGTTATTTCCTTCCATAGATGCTAATGGCATAGAGGATAGTGAGCGGCACCGGTCCACTCGCCGGAGTTCTGACGTTAACAGCTATGCGATGGCGTCTCAGAGACGGGGAAGGTCGGTATCGAGGCATTACAGCCGAGCAGGTGAGGGCAAGGGCGTTTTCGATAATCCTTCGGAACGCAAGGGCGTTTCGGATGGCAGTTCGGGAGGCAAGGGCGTTTCCGATGGTAGCTCAAGAAGAAGGCGCTCGCTCTCCGTCGCACGCTATCAGTTTAGCGATTCCGAGGTAAATTATATCATATGCTCCAACAGAATAGACTCTATATGCTCTGCTGAAAAAGGGATACAAAGACATTCCTTGTATTGGGCTTAATTGTAAATCTTAAGTTGGGTCAGCTCTAGTGAAACTGTGTTTTTCTTTTTTCCACAAGCTCCTGTAATTCTATTTTCTATTATTAATGAAATCATTTATTTGTTGCTGATCAAAAAATGAAAAAGGTGGCCTTTGAAAGTTAATCAATGTCTGTCCAAATTTTGCCCTGTGATCGTAGCAGGTATATGGATATGATCCCTGTTTACAGCCTTACACAGTAGCTGAAAGTAGGATGACTTAGATATGGAAATCAGTACCTCCACGCTTTCTTTCTATATTCTTGTACATTCCATTGTTTACATATTGAATTATTGATGAGGTTCTCAATTCTCATGTTCAAACCGTAAGGGGGATAGAGGAACCAAGGGGAAAAAAAGGATGGCTAAGTCATCTTATTAGGTCAGCAATTGCCCCATCTACGTCCTTCATGTATACTAGGCTGCATATAAGTATAACATTTCCTGAAATGAATTTTCCTAGCGGGAAAAAAGTTTATAGCATGTTAATTTTTTGAAGTAGCTTGCATGCATTTCTTATTATTTGGAATTATTTTTAGCTTCATTTTCTTGATTTCTTATCATGAACAAGAGAAGCAGTCCAATGTTTCTTCTGTTCGACAGAGTGATGTGGATAATTCTCGTAACACTAGTAATGGTGCTAACCAGAAGAGCCTTGGTAATGGTATCTGCCAGAAGCCTTCATCCTGTAGGCCAACAGATCCCAAGCAACAATTTGGATTAAGAAGATCTATGAGCCAAAAGGATTTGCCAAAGTCGCATGACAGCTTCTCAGTAAGACACCAAGACTTTCCGTTTAATAATGTGGTTTCACTTTTTTTTTTACTTTTTCTTATTATTTTGTTGGGGGAAAACAGATATTTGTGATTAAAGTTGCCTTTATATTGTCCAGTTTCCCTGTAGTTGCCTTCTGATCCTTTTTGTATTATTTTGTAGAATTTTAATTTGAAGCTGTCTTGTAAATTTAAATTTTAAAGTAAGAAAACTTGAACAAATATATTTGATATTTTCAGAGCTACTCATCCGCATTAACTGATGATGAAGTCTGGGATGCTCATTCCAGTAAACATGGGATTGAGAGGATAATACAAGCAGTTTATGCACAGAAAAAGGTTGGATTCTTTTGTTGATACTAGCAGTTAGATATGACTCAAATATCATCTTAATTGTAAAGAATGATGACCCTGTTACTTATCAAAAAAAGAATGATGACCCTGTTGTCAAAATCATGAAACTTGTACCTTTGATCTTCTTGACGAAGAATTCTCACATGTACACCAATCTGTTTCATTTTCACTTTCAGATAGAACATCCTACTGAGGACGGGTTGGAGACTGGGTTGTATGAAGTCATGCGRAAAGAACTTAGACATGCTGTTGAAGAAATCAGAACAGAGCTAGCACAGGTATATAACAATTTTGGTTTTCCAAAACCTGCCTTTAAACCTGGATCTCCTGAGATCTAAGAAGTGTATGAACTTCTACAGGTGATGGTGAATACAAAGCCATCTGTAGAAAACAGTGATTGCTTGCAGTCAAATAATTCAGATGTTGATGTCCTTCAAGCTGTTGATGCGATCAGAAAGAATTATTCAACAAAACTAGAACAGGTATCCGGGTTTTTTCTAAAAGAGTCATAATTATGCACCAGTGAAGTGATTTTCTGGATGCCAATACCATGAACATTTTGGTGCATTACTTATTTGACCCCCAACCACTTTCAATCAAATGGGTATTGGTTAAGTCCAATCTGATTGCTCTGATATGGCTCTCAATGGCATGTCCTTTTATTAACTGGATTTAACCCAAGTCCATCTTGGTTCAATTTGATAAGGATCTGATCTGATAATATTGCTACCTGTTGGTATATGCACATAAATGGCGACTACCTAATGTTTTTTTTTTTGAAGGAAGGTAAGGTAAATTTATTACAACATCAGAGATTACAGAGGGGCTCCAAAACCAGAGCAAGATTACAGGGAACAAACCCCAAAACTGAATTACAACTTAAACAAACTTCTAGACCTCAGCTGTGCTCCAAGAGCCCTGGATTGGAGCCCTTTCACTGCTGCAGTCGAAGACACTAATTTCCCCACACTACAAGATAAAAGACTGTCTACATCCTTAGACTTATTTTGAAAAATTCTTCTGTTTCTTTCTGCCCAGATGGTGCTGATCACTGCTGCAGGAATAGCCAACCACACACTTTTTGCCAACTTGGAGAGGCCTTGAAGCTCCCAGCTTCTTAACAGATCCATCACTTTACTCAGCATGACCCAGGAAAGACTACCTAATGTTGGTCCTGGGTATCTGGGACCTCGGCAAGAGTGGGCTGGTTATGGTAACTTGCCTCTCTGAGACTTGAACCTGCAATCTCAATGTTACCGGCCTGAATTTATAATAAAAAGCTTGTTAAGTTTTAGTCTCATGGAAGCTACTATTAGTTAATTATATTAGGAATTTATAATATCCGAGATTATGTGAAATCTTACATGGATAAGCGATGGTTACAACCATGCCTTGTCTATTATATTATTTTGGGTGGTCTGAGATTCTAAATGAACCGATCATAGTTGGGAAAAAAATCTGTATATAGGAATGTCTGGTAATCGGTAATTTGATTTGGTTGATTTTTGAGCTTGGAGGTGTTGTAGTTAGGAGATCTCAAATATACCTCCTCACTAGTTATACAGGCAAACCATGACATGCTAGACAAGGGAAACTGGAGACTATTCTCTATGCATCGCCCTTTGTCTTTGAGTCAGTTTATTGCATTATACTTGACATGTTTAAGTGCTGATAGATTTCAAACTTTTTAATTTCCAGTCAGAGAAGCGTAAACATGATCTCCAAGCTGAAATCATGGCTGAGGAGCAGCGTGGACGAGAACTTTCTAATATTGTAAGGGAATTACTTCCTGATCAAAAGAGTACTGCAACTCCAAAAAGGCCATCACGTGCTCGAAAGGTAGTTCTCTCTCTCTCTCTCACACACACACTATCACTTGCGTGCATACACACACACACGATTATATTAGTTGCATGAACATTTTAACCAAGTCAATATTGTTCAGTTCATAGTTGTCATGGTGTTGCCTAGGCACCCCGCACCCTTGGCTGGGCGCCTTGCCTAAATGCTTTGTTTATAGCAACTAGGCACCCATCTAGGTGATTTGGTGCCTGCCAAGGTGATAAGGTGCCCATTTAAGCGGCTAAAAATGACAAGGGAGGCGCCTTGTTACAATATCATTCATGTTGCTACATCTTACGAATATGTATGTTAGAACATTTATTATATACTATATATCATTTATACTGTGGTTTAAAGTTTTACTATTGAAATTTAAAAGATCCAAAGGCTTTTAAAAGAGAACAAGAAAAGAAAATAGAAATATAAAGAAATTTCTTTATTTTTTGTTTGTTCTACTCTCTTACATTGAATAAAATAGCAGCTCATCCCTTGTTCTTTTTCTCTTGTAGCTTCTTTCTTAAATTTTATCACACAAAATTATGACCTTCTTTAGTTAATTTGATATGAAATTGCTCTATTAAATACTTATTACATTAGTATCATTTTTGAAAGTATTGAAATTAATATAATCAAAGTACTACAGTTCTAGATATGTTGATTTCACATGTTTTGAGAGGAAATTTGATGTTATTAATAAAGAAACTTGCTATGTTTCCAATTAATATGCATGCTGAATTGTATATAAAACTAGAGAACTAGGAAGAACTTAGTTTTTTATTTTATGAAATGTGCCTAGCCAACTAGGCACTCCACTGTTGCCTAGAATTGCCTAGGTGCCTTAACAGCTATGGTTCAGTTAGAAATTTAAGATCGTATCTTTGGCCAAAGGAGGTGCAAATGGGCTCTTCTCTAAACTCCTATTTTTCTTGTTTCACTTTTGTTCTAGAGGAGTAATGACAGAACTAGGGTGTCCAAATGCTTGGCTCATGAGGCAGAAAAATATTTTGAGGATTTCATATCAAGTGTTGAAGACACAGATATTTCATCATTTGACGGTGAAAGGAGTGATGCAAGTTCAACACTTGGAGGAACGACAAAGTTAAGGGATCCTATGATACATTGTGGGGAAGCAGAAACAATTGGAACTCCAGCAAGAGCTAATTCTCTTCCAGTTGAAATGGATGGGATTGTTTTGCCTTGGTTGCAATGGGAGACCAGTAACGATGGATCTCCTTTATCGTTCAAGGGAAGAAAAGAGGTGCCAGTGAAACTGCAAACTGACGTATGTGATGCAGTTCAGGTAATTCTTCTACAAGATGGCATGTTTTTATAAACAAGTTCTTGTGTGTTGTCCTGGGCTGATGTAATAGGTTAGTGTCTACAAGATGGCATGCTTTTTTCTAATCCCATTTGTTTATTTATTCTATGGACTAATTTTCTAGATCATAATAAATTGGTTATTGTCATGACTTGATTGCAGGCATTAAGATATGTATCTCCAAGCAAGCAGGCTGCTATAATGAAGTGTATAGATTTAAGCTCCCAACAAATACAAACATACAAGCCAGTAGAATTTGAGGACTTATAATTCAGTTTTTTCCTCTATTTTTTTTGGATTTTTGTCATGTGATTTATTGTTTGAAAGTTGAAAGTAAACAGGGTTCCTATAGGAGAAACAGTATGCTCCAGGATCTGTGGTGGATCTATTCAGGATGCATCATGGAAGAAAAACATGCTATAGTTATTCAATCAGTTTGTGTTTGGACTGCTGTGGAAGTGGAAATGATCTGCAGAAAAGGATTTGTGAACTCTTAGCCACATTTTCCATTCAATTGTGGAATCTGCAGAGCTTTTCCATTGCTGCCTGCAATCCAAATGTAGCCTTACTGAAACCTTAGAGGAAGCATAGGGAGGAAAGAGGACAAATAGCTTTTTGGGAGGGAAAGCCTACCACTAGCAAGTTTCAGATGTGAAATGCACCCTAAATATCTTCTTTTTATCTTATCTGTCCAATCTTAAATATCTTTGTCATCCTGGGGAACCTGCCACATACTGAAAGTTTCTTCACTTTAGTGATGTCTTTCATCAAAATTTTGTGGGCTTAGGGGTTCCATCAAGGATGCATACTCATGGTTGTTTGTATTGCAAAGCAGCACCAGAATTCCTTCTTGCCATAGGAGATTTGGCAAATGTCATCTGGTGGTGCCAGAATATGGAGGCTGGACGTTGGTTTCTAGCCCACTATGGGCATCCTCTCAGCATGGGTGTTTTCCATTTTGCAGTGAAGTTCTTGATTTGTCCTTTCTGCCAAATAATGCAGACTCCCTTTTCATATCTCATTATCTGTCCAAAGGGATAATGCATTTAAAGAACCTTTGAATGGAGATAAGGCATGCTGAGCACCTTTTTGGAAGGAGCTCAAGCTGTAATGCTACTCTCAATTTTTAAGGTGACAGCTGGTTGCATTGAGTCATGTTGAAATCTTTATTCTGTATGATTCTAGTTTCTCGGTGCATTTTGCTCCTTTCCATATTAATGTATCATAGCTCGATATTACAGTATTGGTTACTGTCTGTCTGCATGCGGACATAAAAATACACATACATATTTACATTCCTATAGGTAAGGTAGTAGATGACATACTTTCAATTTATGTATTTTTACAGGGAGGGAGCACTGAAAACAATAAAAATAATTGTTTCGCTAGTAGCTGTGGGGGTTGGAGCTCTGGAGGTGAAAGTGCTTCCCTGGCCTATAGAGATTTGGTGAGCAGATTTGAACCCTTAAGCTGCAAGAGTCACTCTGTTGCTAGTGGACCACGACAATCATACTTTGACATGGATGAGTACCTCCATCTTCAACACCAAGAATATGCCCTCTTTGAAGGCTGGAGGCAGCGGCAAAGAATAAACTCAGGTGGTCTTCTACTCTGCAGTAAATATATGTAATCCTAGGCTGCTAGCCCTGTCAGTTTTGCACCTTCCAAAATGCAAAACGTAAGAGGCTGGCTCGAGGATAATTCCTTGACTAGTCAATTTTGTATTATGTATATAAATTTTAGTTGCAAGTAGCTAGTAGTATTGATATCAAAGCAGGACAGGACTTGGTGATTATGTTCGGTTTCCTTCTTTCCACCTAGTGTTTGTTTCCATGTCTTGATGATTCTGTATTTCTTGGTATTAGGCTTCCATAACTGTGAAGTTTGTAAATTTGTTAGTGGTAAAAGACTAACAAGTAAAATCATAAGAAAAGATGTTAGAACCATCTTTTTTCCCTAATATGGTTGGTTAGGTCTTCTGCTGGTTGTAGCAGAGACCTGGGACCGAATCCCGCCTGCACCTGGATTGGGGGGGGGGGGGGTTATGGGTTGGGGTTGGGCTACCCCCGTTGTGTAGCCCTTCAAAAGATATCAAAAAAAGTTGAAGGAAAAAAGGTCAAAAGAACAGAGGGTGAAATACTCAACAACCCTTCTTATGGTAGGTTGATTCTGCAGTTCTTTGGTTAGCATCAACAGTCCTGTGTTTGCTACAAGATTCCATCCTGTAGTTCTAGAACTGTTCTTTAACCTAACCTACCTACTGTTTTCTTGTTCGTGTGAACAATGCTACTAGGATTGTTGGATGCAAGTGTTAGTGTTTCTGAAAATTCACACCATGGATTCCGTCTTGTAGTTGGTTAGAAGAAATTCATGGGAAGTATCCAGCTAATTCAGCCTCCCACTGTTTCTAGGGATTATGTCTTGTAATTGTTGAAAGAGGGGCAATATTGGATTTCTTGAAAAATTTTAATAAAATTTAGTACATATAATGGGATCTTAACAGATTGTTAATCGAAGGGAGGTATTATGTCTGATAATGTCATATCACAAGGGAGGTCTTAGTGCATTTAGAAATGAGAGTGGAGGTCTTAGTATTTAGCATAAATATCAAGGGAGGTTCAAGTCTTGTACCCTAAAAAAAGGTATTTTAAGCTGGTGTTTGGCATGAATGCTATTGCTTCAGAGCTGTTTTCTCAGTGCTGTATGGATGAGGGTCTGTTGCACTGTTTTCTGAGAAGAGAAAACGACTCTTTTTTTTTTGTTTGGCATTGATGCTGCCACATAAGATTGATCCACATTATCCAATGGCTCCTTTTTTTTGGCTCCTTTTTCAGCATTTATCCACATTATCCAATAGTTCACAAGATGCCACATTGGTGCCAGATCATGGTACTATTGGCAGCAATGGTTCTGAAAACGAGAAAATGCCAATCTTGACGTTTTCTCAGACCATGCCTTCCTGAATTCTAAGGTGTGGTCGTTTTCTTGAACAACAGTCCCAAATAAGTCTGTGTTTCATAGCGCACCGTTTTTTTCTGATGGCACCGACGTAGAGCCGTTTTCTGGGACAATAGCATCCATGCCAAACACCACCAAAGAGTGCAGCAAATGGTCTGGGTTGGAGAGCGGACTTATTATTGATCTAGTAGTTGAACTGTTTTTCTCCCCTTCCTGATTCCTTGGAAAGCGCCTCTAAAATAAGGGTGGCAGCATGTCATTGATGTTAGAGTTTAAGAAAGCTGTAGAAAGTAATAGAATATATTTGGCATCAAACTAAACTAGCATCCTCTGCAATTGGTGATTTTTTTTGGTAGATAGTTGAAAAACTTATTAAACAAAAAGATTACAAAGGTAAGGTTCCAAGTTTCCAACCAGTAAAAGGCTTCATATTTTTCATTTTTTGAGCCAACAAATGAGCTGTTCTGGTACGATCTAGGTTTATATACAAAAATAATATTGTTTATGGGTTTATGGACCTAACTACAATTAGCATTCTGTTTATCCAATTAACAAAATTCCAAGTAAAATTCCTTTGAAGCGCCTCTATTATGTTCTTAGAATGAGCATAAAAATTGACCCCCATCCTTGACTCCCAGCTAGAGGTGTAAAGCCCGTGGGTGGCCCGTGCAAAGTGCGGGCCGTGTCATTCTGGCCCACGGGTCGTCATTGGCTGTGCCACCCTCCCTAGTGAAAAATTTGGGGGTTGGCCCGGCATTGTCCATGGCGCAAGCCCGTGTGAGCCCGTGTTGTGCTGCGGGTTGGTTTGGCCCGTGGGCCGAGTCTTGGGCTAGGTTGGGCCGTGCATCGGGCCAAAGTTATTTATTTAAAAAATTAATAAAAACTTAAAATTTTAATTTTATATGAATTTTGTGTATAAAATTGCTTATATATAATAATTAAATCAATTAGTATAATAAAATTAAAAAAAAATATTTATTTTTTAATATATTATATACTATATATTATTATATAATTATAATTTATATAATATTATATAACTATATATAAAAAATATATATGGGCCGTGTCGTGGGATGTGCTGAGCCGGCCYGTGGACCTAAAACCCCAGGCCCAGCACGACCCATAGACCGTCGTGCCAGGCTAGTCCAAATTCATACCAAGCCACGGGCAACACAACCCGATTTACACCTCTACTTCTAACAAAATATTGAGCTTCAAAAACTATTCCTAATTCAGCCACTAAGAATGTGTTAAAATAAAAAGCACAAAATCCAAAAGTTCTCTGTTTATTCATTTTCGTTCCACCATCACATTGAATAATAAAGAAATTATTATCCTGCCCAGCAACTGGATTTGCAAAATTACCACATACCACAGGTATATTCCTACTACGACAAAATTTATCCTGTGGGCAATCCAAAAATTTAGGACCCAGTTACAAGACTTTAAATAATTTCCATCATCCTGCAAAAACATTGAACCCTGGATTTGCACACAAAACAGCACGAGCAAATGAGAATCTTCTTGGAGTACTCCATCCAAAAATAATGGTTGCAATTCATATAAAAATAATTAAATAAGGATTCAACCATAATATCAGAAAAAATTTGTACCAATCAAGCGATATTTACCAAAATTCAGGAGGGGGGGGGGTTCATTTTAGCCCTTCCTATATCCTGTGATCATGTCTTTCCGGCAGCATATATTTTACTTATAAATAAGATCATGTTACCTAATTACAGGCCCATTGAAGTTTGAATATTGAAACCATACAAAATCCGAATCCAGATCTCCTGCCCACACAAATTTTGCTCACACCTACCCACATAATGTCGCAGCCATGGAGAATATTTCATCTTCCTACATAGTATTATGCAAGGGGAAATGTTCCCAATTCACGGGATAGTGTGTTGTGGGTAGAATTCTCGTGGGCAGGTGATTGGGAGTCACAGAATTCAGCCAGTTTAAAGCCAACTTATACTTGCAGTTAAATAGTCATAGTTATCGGGTTGGGTGGGAAAAGCGGTTGGTTTCAGACTATGTCATTTGATTTTCCATCAATCATTCACTGTCTGAATCCGGCATGTTGCCATGGTCATGGTTTTCAAATCATCATTGACCCGGATGATCGGACCATTCAGCTCAGAAACCAATCAGGCAATCAGTTCTGCTTTATAACTGAGCCGCTTTTTTGCCAAAAGACGTTGACTTGGTCAATGATCTACTGATCTAGGAGGTCAAACTGTTGATCTGTTCAACTCAAACAACGTTTTTTGGCTGTTTTTTTGTTTTAATTATTTTTATGTTTAATATTTTTTAAAATAAGTCATTCATTTAGACCAAACGGTAGAACCACTGACCTAGAAATCAGTGGCTAAAGCGATTCTAGTTCCGAGTCGGTTTTGAAAACTCTGGCAGTGATAACTGCGGATTCCATGAACAGGGTGGCAATGTAGGATCTGCCTTGAGTCAACACCGTGATACCTACTAAGAAACATAAACTATGATCGCCATTTGTCATGTACTCATGAGTTGGGAATTGCTTAAAAATCTTTAACAAGGGTTTTGTATTACAGATTTACAGTGGTGAAAAGGATTTTTTAACAGTAACTTGTATGTTAACTGTTATAATGTATTTCGCCTTATAATCTTTTGCACGGTGCATTATATTTTGTTTTGCAATTTTCAAGTACCAAAAGAAGGTATTAGGTTAACCCTTAAGGCTGAGTTTGGAAGGAGTATAGATGTAAATATGTAGAATGTAAAATCTTATATTTTGTATTATTTTGTATGCATTTAAGCTGTACATATTTGCATTTATACTCTTTCCAAACTGAACCTAAAAAGTTACTCAACATAAAAAGGATGAATTTGGGGAAAGTGTAAATACAAATATGTACAGTGCAAAACCCTATAAATTGCACTTTATTTGCACTGTACATATTTGTATTTATACTTAATAAATAACAAGCTAGCAGCCCCAACTAACTTGACTGAGTACTCATATGAGTTGGTGGTGGGTGGACCAAACTTTGCTCAATCTTTTTTTTCTTGTGACAAATATAAATTCACTTGTGTTTTGTTCATGCAGCATTCATGTAATTTCCCCCATTTCTTACATCATATTTTACTTAACTCATTTTTTATTTATTTCTGATCCAAACATGTTTTTGGGTATGGTGAGAGGATATCCAAGCAATCTCATTGGATAAAAACAAAAGAAAATCTAAATGCTTACATGGGTCTTGTGGCCTGGAGATACAGGCAACAAGTAATGGTTCTCAGGCCTCAACGTGGCAGAAAATCTTCAATAACATTGGAAAGGAAAAGGAGAGTATCTCTTATCCAAGTGAAAGCTCCACGCGCCAATTGTTTATTGGCTTAGGAGATCATATCTCATCTGCTGCAAGGCCACCTCATATCTACAAATGATTTCTATGCCCCGCCACCCAGATACTCGGTTAATATACTCTCATTGTTTTGGTTCACCTTCTTCATTCATTCATTCATTCATTTCATCAAAAAAGTGACAGAAATAATCCAGCTCTCTTCCTACTGCTACTGGGTTTCTTAACTCTGTCACGTCACACAGGAAAGAAAGAGGAAAATGGCAGCACAGACCCTTGTATCCTCTTCTCTTACCTCTTCAGTGGAGTCTGCTAGACAACTACTTGGAGGACGGCCTTTCCAATCTCCAAGAAAGGCTTCGTTCGTTGTTAGAGCAGCTTCTACACCTCCTGTTAAGGTATGTTGCAGCAAGAGACAATCAGATCCCATTTAGATTATACAACCCAACTGATTGAATATTAATTCATTCGTTCTTTCCTTGGAAATTAAAACAGCAAGGAGCAGATAGGCAGCTTTGGTTTGCCTCCAAACAGAGCCTTTCTTATTTAGACGGCAGGTAATCCTAACAAACCTCAATATCTACACTCTATCCGATTGCCAAATTACTACAAAATCAGTCTTACAGTGAGTTAAGGCTGTTAACTATCCCCTTACCTCTTTTCACAACTCAAAATTTAATCCAAAGCACATGGGTCTGATCACTCGATCTGAATCTGTGTAATTACAGTCTTCCAGGCGACTATGGGTTCGACCCACTTGGGCTTTCAGACCCTGAAGGAGCAGGAGGGTTTATCGAGCCGAATTGGCTAGCCTACGGTGAGATAATCAATGGACGATTTGCCATGTTGGGTGCTGCAGGCGCAATTGCTCCGGAGATCCTCGGCAAGCTGGGTCTGATTCCGGCGGAAACTGCACTCCCCTGGTTCAAGACGGGTGTAATTCCACCAGCAGGAACATACAATTACTGGGCGGACCCCTACACCCTATTTGTGTTGGAGATGGCACTGATGGGATTTGCAGAGCACAGGAGATACCAGGACTGGGCCAAGCCTGGTTCCATGGGGAAGCAGTATTTCCTAGGATTGGAGAAATATTTGGGAGGGTCTGGAGACCCAGCTTATCCTGGGGGACCCTTCTTTAACCCGCTTGGGTTTGGAAAGGATGAGAAATCCCTCAAGGATCTGAAACTCAAGGAAGTAAAGAATGGGAGGTTGGCCATGTTGGCCATCTTGGGTTACTTTGTGCAAGCACTAGTCACTGGAGTTGGTCCCTACCAAAACCTCTTGGATCACTTGGCTGACCCAGTCAACAACAACATCTTGACTAGCCTCAAGTTCCACTAGGTTTAGCCTTTGGGAATCAATCAATGCCCATAATCCTACATACCCATCTCTCTTAACCCTCTCTCTCTCTCTCTCTCTCTCTCTCTTGTAACATTTTGTGAAGCCTTGTAATTGGCTATTGGTATATTATGTGAATGAATGATGCAGATCTCTCTCTCTGTGTTAGCACATACATTTAAAGGTAGAATATTTTGCACATCAGAAGCTTCAGTGTTTATTAATATTGCATTTTCTAGAACGTCCAACTTTGGCTTTGATCTCTGATGGAAGACCATTCGTATTGCACTTTGTAGAGTTTTATAGGTAATTAGTTGTAAAAGGAATCTTTTTACAGAGTAATTAATAATCAAGTGTGGGGAGTTGCAATGCCTATAGTTGCAAATACATTGTAATGAAGTGCATTTGAATTGTGTATATCGAATGTATGTGTACATTATTGCTTGAGGTTTAAAAGATGAAGCCAATTCTAAATATTAATTAAGGCCCCGTTTGGTTCGTGGGAATAAGGGTCTGGAATCGAATCGGAATGGGCTATTTTGATTTTAACTGTTTGGTTGGATATAATTGGAATTTCATTTCCATTTTTATTGGAATGGCCATTCCCTGCTCCTCCCTTGGGATGAAATCCAATTTGAATTTAATTCTCATTTCCATTCCTTTTTGAACCAAATAGACTATAAGAATAGACCATTCCGATTGCAAACCAAACAGACCCTAATATGTATTATTAGTATTGAGAAAATAAATTTTAATCCATATTAATGTGTATGTGGATGTTGACACACAAGGAATTAAAGATTCTTAAGAGTGCAAAGGATAGAAGGATTATCTGATTAAGAGCCAATGAAGAGAGCAGCCCATGAATTTTATATTTATAAATTGCAGCTATAATTAAATTGGTGAATTTAATATTTGAGAGCATCCCATGAAAACAATCAAGTTTAAAACACCTGCTATATATAAGCTTTAATTAGAAATGTATATCGGTGCTATTGGAGTCATTTGCCTCAATAAATTAAGTTAAGAGCAAGTATGAAATGGTGATTAAGGATAAAAATCAAGTGGAAATTAACAATATTTAGTTCCCCTTCCTCATTAATTGTTTTGAATGTGGAAGGCAGAATGTGCAGGCATCTCAGGCTGTCTGTTTATAATCTGAATTTTAATTAGAGAAGAATGTTAGAAATTAAAAAAAAAAAAGAATGATCAAAATTTAAGAGTACAAATACAAATATCAACAATTCCTGCCACTTCTTAACAGTTTGGAAAGAGTACAAATATAAATATGTATAATACAGATAGATAAAAAATATTTCAAAATACAAGAATTTGTACTCTACATATTATGCTCGCTTATATTTATATTCCTTCCAAACTGAGCCTAAGGCTTCTTCTCAAAGCTCAAACTCTGGAAGAGAGCGTAGGGAGTCCCTTTAAATATAGGGTATATCTTTCTAGTGCTGTGAACAGTCCCAAGGATCTTTCAGAGTTACCCACTTCCCTTAGCTTTATTAATAGAATCATCTTCCACCCATCATCAGATGTGTCATATACATCGATCTACTTCATATCGACCAGGCCCACAGCACTATATCCTGTGCAACCTAGACACAGATAAAGGCCAGTGTGTGCATGCTTCATTTCCAAAGTTAATCCTGAAACATCACCTGTAGCTGCTGCTGCTTGAGAAATGAGATCACCTTGTACAATGGAAGTAGAAAGCATGGTTTTAAAAACGATCCGGAAACAGAATCATTCTGACCATTAGTTCGATCCTTTGGTTTGAATGGACGGTCTGTTCTGACAAAAAAATGGCCAAAAACTGTTAAATGGGTCGATAGATCAACAATTCGATCGCTGGAATCAATGAATCATTGACCGATTCAATGGTTTTTGACCAAGGACCAGGTCCAAATCAATGGCAGTTTGAAAACCATGATAGAAAGCCATCAGGCATGCATAAACATAACAGCTAACGGCTATATATAAAGAGTAAGACGCCCAGATGCAGTACGTAGCAACCATGGATCTTCCCTACTGTTGGGCAAGTCCAACCTTATCTACTGGAAGGAGCTTCTCTCATCAACTCTCTATTGCTCCTTCATGTCACTTAATTTCTTCCTCATATATGACTTGTTCAGCTCAGCCTTTGAAGCTTGGTCTGACAACCAACTACAAGCTAGGTTTCTACCATATATATGATCAGGACTTGTGTCAAATTGGTGAATTAATGGATGAATTGATACTAAGTACATCCCACTCTTGAAAAAGTTTAATTTTTCTATATATATCATGTTGCGCAAAACCCAGAAATACAGATTAAAATGTCACAAGAAAATGAGGTAAAGATAAAGAGAAACAATAAAGAGAGCACACATAAATTTAGATGGTTAGGCTTATATCTTATGCCCACGGGTAAAGGAGGTGCAGAAATCCATTATAGAAAATACAGGGAGAATCCTAAACCCTTAATTAAACACTCAAAACCTCTCACTTTCTTTCTAAATATATATTTAATAGAGAACCCCCAAAATACACAACTCTTTGTGTTCGGATCAGACCTATAAATTAAATATGACCCATGCCCTACACTTTCACCACAAACCACTATAAAATTTTGACTTCAGATTTTTCTCAACTTAATTCAACACGGGCCATGAAGCAGGTCACAATAAAGAATCAAGTCACAAACGTAATACATCATTAGTCCATACAGATTTCATTCATGTCTTATGACTTAAAGTTCACATTTGCAATCTATACTAGTCAATGAAATTGGTCTCAGTGTTTTAAAAATTGACCCAAAGTTCCAACTGTTTTTTCCTTCACGTGGCGGATCACTGGTTTGATCACTTGGGACAAACAGAACAAGTCATATGTATGTATGTATGTATGTATAGACATGTATTTTATCAATAAAAATATATAACTATTTTTTAGATGTAATATATGGTATATATATTATTTTATGTTTAATTTTTTATTTATAAAAAATTGAAAATTATGATTTGATCATTTTGATGAAGCCAAAAAAGGTTTTATTTCTGACAAAAATATTCAAACACGAAACTATAACTTTTAAAATTTATATATACATTGAATATGCAACCCGTAACCTCATAACTGCATCAAACGGATCAAAAATTTTAACCAAATAACGAATTTCATTCAAACCAAACGGAATCTTGATCAGATAACAATTTGAACAAATGTGTGTTTCATGCAAACCAGACTGAAAGCACAGATTGGTCTGAGTATTTCTACGAAGGACCACACAAATGTGTTTCATATAATTTTAATTCTACCTATTATCATCAAAGCGTGTTTTCTAAAAATGCTTCCTGCTAATTCAACAATGTTACCATTAATATAAGCTTCTTTATTAATTATTCATTTGYTTATGTTACATCTACATCACTCCCGGCCCAAAGCACTTCTCTCAATTTCGTAGGGCCCATCAGCTCAGGATAAAAGCTGGATCGCCAACCCAAGCTGGGCCCCCACCAGTACTTAGTCTGTGTACGTGGGGGAGAGAGAAAGAGAGATATCAACCCTCTTTTGAGTTTTGAACCACTGGCAACGCTGTCACGTGTAAGATTCTCTGCCCTGACTGTTTATTAATTTGCCTAAATGATTTCATCAATGTATTTATTTATTTTTTCTTTATTTTTTATTATTTTATATGATTCAAATTAATATATAATAATATCTCATACTGCCTGCCTTTTCCGCATGTAGATCCCTTTTGTTTCTTTAGTCCTTTTTCTGTCATAAGGCTTGTTTGTCTTTTCGTCTAAGATATATTGTTATTTGGTTAATTTTCATTGTTCTGTGAGAGTTGCAACAAGGGAAACTATTCTCTCTTAAAGCTTATTCAATACATTCATTATCGTTTCACATGTTTATGCCTATCCATCGATCACTTCGGCCCTGTTCGTTTTTATTTATTTCGATAAGTATGTTTATCTAGACAAGTGTTTCGGATAAATGAGGTTCTAGTATTTTTGTGTGATACAAGTTATCCATGCAAACAGAGAGACAGGAGAAAGAGAACATTATCACATGTGGGTAAATTATTTACCTGGGTAACTAATACTCTCCTATATCCTCAATTACCGTGGGACCTAATATAGCGACAAATGAATGTGATGATTGTGATCAAATTAGTGGTTGACCGATTTGCCCCAACTAAATACCCAGAAACAAATGGGATTTTCATTTAATGATAGAATTCCTTGCTTTATTAATTACTTGTTAATTAGATAAATATCTCAATGTGTCTGAGTGTCTACAAATACTTGATGTTTTGTTGCTTATTGTCTGTCTTGTTTTTGAGGCATTTTCTAAGAGAAGAAAAATCAAGAAAGGAACAAAAGACAACAACTTAACCAAAGACTATCATCAAGAGTTACAATATCCTCTCTAATCTCTGAAGGCAAATCAGATAGGAGCAGCATCAAAAGCCTGAAAATTCTCCTATCTCGGAGTCTAAAAGAGGTATACTTTCTACAAACAAAAGGGAGCGATGCGAATTCAACTTTAGGACAAGTATAGAAAGGCAATGGATAAGTGCTTCTTCGTTATTCTTCATGGGTAGTTGTGAAGCTTGTTGGACGAGACCAGGTTCAGGGCCTACTGCTAAGGTCCAACCTTTAGGTTTTAGTAGCACCTAGCCTGAGGCCTTAGCCGAGGAAAAGTTCCACCTGACTGGCTCACTGGCTCACACCCAAATTAAGTCAAACTATAAATTTTAGGGACAAAAACCCCTGAACTTTCATTTGTAATAAAAACTCTCTTAACTTTCCAAAAAGATTTTGATTTAGATATTTATTTATTTTTTAATTTCCAAATTACTCTTTTCTTATTTATTTCAAGGATTTATGATTGATTAGTTTTCTTTCTAGGTTCGACTATGATATGGGAAAGATATGATATCTGAAAGACTTCTGACCACAGTCAATTGGAATCAAAAACCTGGTAGCCAATTAGGTGTTATTTATCAAAATTCATGGGTGGGTTTTGATCAAGGTTCAAAGTATCGATACGATACGCCCTGTATCATATCTTTTGGTCTCGATACACCTATTTACATGTGTTTCGAGACCCTGATTTATTTCAATAAAAAAGCACTCAAAAAACATCTCTAAAAATCAAGTTTAAAAAAAAAAAAACATTGAGCGCTTAGTTTTTAGTACCAA